ATCTCAGAATTTACATGCAATCTGTATAATTAGTTTTTTTTAATATTTAATACTCCATGCATGTGTCCAAACATTCGATGTGGCAGGGTGAAAAGTTTTGTTTGGAAACTAAGGCCTGGTTTAGTTTCCCAAATTTTTTTCCCAAAAACATCACATCTAATCTTTAGACACGTGCATGGAGCATTAAATATAAATTAAAAAACTAATTGCACAGTTGGGGGGAAATCGTGAGATGAATCTTTTGCACCTAAGTCCATGATTAGCCATAATGATAACAATCCGACCCAGGTGGAGTTGGTCGAGGCCCAACAAATTAAGGTTGCTCGGACCCTAACAGGCCCAGGTAGAGTTGGCCGAGGCCCAACAAATTAAGGTTGTCCGGACTCCAACAGTTCTTAGGCACACCCACTCGGGGAAAGGCCCAATCTACCTAAAAGACTAGTTCGATAGGAGAAGGGTAGCTCTCCCTTTTAAGGTGGCTTCCTCCTCCCTAGCTAAGTAAGGTGGGATTATTCAGAAGCTCACACGGTCATCGCCCAACTTTTGCGTCTTTACCAGCATGTAATAGTGGAGGATGTCCTCATCACATAAGCGCTACAGTAACCCTCATATGCTAATGACGGATTAATTAGGCTCAAAATATTTGTCTTGCGGTTTCCAGGTGAGTCATAAAATTAGTTTTTTCATTCGTGTCCGAAAACCCTTTCCGACATCTGGTCGAACATCCGATGTAACACACAAAAATTTTCTTTTCGCGAACTAAATAGGGCCTCACTCACTCAAGGTACACCATTGTAGCTAGGTCAGTAGGTGGTACATCATATGATGCAGTTTAGTACGCATCTATCTGCATTATACTTGCTCCCATCGTTGTTTCGTTTAGAGCTGATTATAACCCCTAGTGTAAAGCGAAACTTATTTCAATTTGCCATAGTGCGGAGTGAAAGTACGTGCTCAACCTAAGATATGATTTGAGCAGTTCTAGGTGAGATTAAATAGTACTAGACCTCCTATATATCCTTATCAACGGACTCCTTTATCTGCTCCCAACCTTATGCATATATATACGTATGATGTTTATTTCCGTATAGGTCGAACTATATAGTGATTTTGCTGAGGTAACTATCTATTGGGATCCTATATTTAGAATGCTGACAAATTAATTCCAGAGAAGGCGGATGACATCCGATATATCTAAAAAAAATCATGTTGCGTGTGCATGGATGACAAGAGCCGGCTGAAATCGGGGAGGTAAGAAGGGTTCTCCTTCGTATTGGGGAAACTGTTTTAACAGCTCGAGTGGATATCCACATGTTTATTACATGTCATCTACATGGTTATAAAAAAATGAAAAAAATATGAACAATATGTAATATATCACACCACAAACATGCCAAGTTAAAATTCAACTTCTACAAATTATAACAAAAATAACAAACAAGACTCAAATTAATATATGTAAATATACAGTTAAATTTATTATTTTTATTACAACTTATAGAAGTTAATTTGAACTTGCATGTTTCTGGAGTGATATATACATATTGATCTATCTTGTCAATTTTTTTGAAAATTTTTCATTACCATTTAGTTGACATGCAATAAACGGGTGGACGTCCACTCGAGCTATTAGAATCTATCTCTATTGGTATTGGTGTTTTTACTGTAGCTCTAGGCCGCCTCTCTCTTGCTCTCCTGAGCCTTCGTAGGTTTTTTTTTTAAGATAATAGAATAAAAATCCGGGCCTTTGCTACAAAGAAGTTACAACCATTTATTACAAAGTTCTCTCAGAGAGCAAATACTCTAGCAACAATAAGAACTGAAATAATAAAGCCAACACATAAGGAGAAAACAATTATTGAAGTCTATTTGTGAATCTTGGTGAAAAATCCGCGTAACTGTAACTTGTAAAGTTTCAGCATGCATAAGAGCAGGTACAATAGCCGGCTATAAGCCAATATATTTTAATGAGATAAAAGAGAAAAGAGAAGAGCAGCGGGCTACAGATCTATAGCCAGCTGCAACACGGACTATAAGCCACAATGTGTGTATGCCAGGTGAGACCATATATTAATAGTATAGTAAGCAACTATTGTATAAATTGGCTATTAAATTGGCTATAGATGAATTAGAGCTAGTAGTGGGCTATACTATTAAACTTGCTCTAATGTATGAGCCAAATCTTCGCATTACACAAAACTTCTAAACTTGGCAGGTGTATTACACCAAATATTGTTATATGTGCATTGATGAATATAGTGTTTGTAATTGAATAGAACCTGCCACCAAACAACAGCCACCCTGCAGCACCACATAAATCGCATACCAATTATATTAATGGTCCCCGAAGCATTATTGCATTTACAGGTAGTATGCATCTACAGCTGGGTCCTGTTTGGAAGATTAGCATAGGGCTAATTTTGAGAGCTAATATTTAGTCATGAATTGGTAGGCTAAACATTAGCTTAGGGTGTTATGTTTGGCTCTCTTTCTACTCTCTCTTCACCTTTTAGCCTTGAATTAGCTCAAAATTAGCCCACCTGTTTGGATTCTTGAGGGCTAATTTGAGACTAAAAGGTGAGGGCTAAACATTAGCCCATGTAATCAAATAGGGCCCTGCTCGATGTATATTTGTGGATGGATCATATGATGTATGCAAAAGGAACTAACCCAACAGAACTTTGACACTGTAATATTTTTTTGTTTTCTATTTTCTCTTAGTTAAATTCAATGTTCTATTATGTTAGTTGTTTAATCAAGACACTTAGTTATTGTTACTAATTTGTTGATCTGTTCATGCGACGGCTGTCTTTGAACAATTGGTTATTAAATAGTCATCTGTTGCTGCTTAGAAATTAATATGATCGTGTTTTAGTTAACCAGAAAAAAATATGGCGCAACTATATATAGTTCCCTTCATATATATCCTGTACGTTGGTTTGCTCATCCGATGGCTGAAAATTGGATGGGGACAAGTCTAGTGGCTTGAACCACTAACGTACGTATCCACACTAATGATAGAGTTTAATCTTGTCATTAATTAGGATATATGCATGGTTCTATTTTGTTTACATGTAGTATAGGTCACATGCTAGAAGCTATGTACGTGAGATATGTACAAACTGCATATTTAGTTTGGCTCCAGCTCATGGGCGAGATGCCGACATGCCGTGTGATGCGGTGGTGCGAGAATGGAGCAAACAACGTTCATGAAGACCAAGAGCTCAACTGCATGTGGAGTGCTGCGAGAAGTAGCCGAATTGCAAGCAAGGTGTGGTCAGTATTAGCCGAGTGAATCGGTCCTAGCTATGCATGAGATTTAGTTGTTGCTAGTGATTAGCCGCATGTGCTGTGATTAGTGGTAATCATGTGAAGTGATTTCTTGGCAAATAAGTAGGATTAGTTAGTTACTTAGTTGCATGGCATCTGCACGTTTGTGTGCATAGCGTGAGTCCCGGTCAAGAGAATTGGCTGGTTGTTATCTGCATGTACTGTGTGAGTCTATAAAATGAAAGGAAAATGAAGTGAGCCGGGGTGTGGCTGCCTCGACCAAAGCTGTGTGTTGTTCAGTTCTTGTGTGTTTGTGTCCACCGAGTAAATACAAGTGTTTATGTTAGTACTAGTGATTAGTACCTAAACATTTAGAGAGGAGAGATTCCCGACAACTAAAACATGAAAACCACATCATATCTCTTCTTTAATTCTTTTCCCATCGATGGGATATAATTCATAATGTATAATGTATAATATATAACGTCGTTGACTTTTTAATAAACATTTGATCAAAACTTTTATCTTAGTTTGATCTTTTATTTTGTTGGATGTGTTTAATTCATTTGAACTACACTCAGTGTTTAGGTGATACGTACTTTTGTAATAATTGGCTATAGCTCTAATGAGCAAAGTCCGGGATGTTTTATTCTATTATCTAAAAATTCAAAACTTTTATGCAAATATAAAAATATATGTTATGTTTAAAGTATATTTGATGATAAATTAAGTCACAATAAAATAAATTACATAAATCAACTACGTTCTATATTAAAATATTTAATATGGATGGAGTATAAATTAGTCAGCCATGCCGCGGCCAGATCAAGCCACTAATCTATCTCTTCCCCCACGGATCGGCAACCAGAGCTGCTCGGGCTCACAGCCTCACACTGCATGCGAGCTAACTAGCTAGCTCAAGAACGGAGAGGGCACAGACACAGACTCCTCGGCAAGGTCGCCGGCGGCGAAGAGGCGGAGCAGCCGACGACGGCGCGGCGACGAAGGCCGGCCGTGGAGAAGATCAATCGGTTAAGTGTCCATTGAGAGAGCAGCATCGTACCATAATCCAGGTAACTATAACAACTATTTGGGTTGTACTCGATCCTGACTTTAATTAGTTAAAACGTCATACATTTTTAGGATGGAGAGAGAGTAATAGAATGTCCAATCTTTTGTTTCCTGTAGTAGAACACACCTACGTTTCTAATAATGGAAAGGGGAGGAGGAGTCATGCTCTTTTTGTTTAGAAAAACAAAACAAAAACAGTCAAAGTGTTCACACATCATTTACAACTTGCTAATTATTAATTTGAATTTTGGAATTAAATTAATGAAAAATTAACTTTACAATAGAAGATTGTACAGATTCATATTTGTTAATTCCGAATTGTGGACTCATTAATATTTTGATAAACTAAAACTAAATATTAGATGGTATTTGCAGTTGCATGCATGGCACCAACCCGTGCATTTCGCTTCCATTGTTATAAATATTAACTTATGTAAAAAAAATGTGATTAAAATTTTAATCATACTTGTGGCTGAATAAGTTAGTTAAATGCCTTTTTAATTTTTCTTCAAAATTTTCTAGCAGTGGTCCCCAAAGCATTATTATTGCATTTTAATTGATATGTACCAATCTTGTCGATGCATATATGTGGTACAGATCTATGCAAAAGGAACTAACCACAGCAGTACTTTACTACTTTGCAGTCAATCTTTCTGCTC